GTTTATATGTTGTAAAGTTGAATTTATTTATGCAGATTAGTAGTGCAGATAGTAATAATAATGATGATCATTTTAATATAAAAAAAAACCTTTAATGATTAATCGATAATCGATCGTTAATTCTCCCTACGATCGATTAAGAAAATTTTATCGAATGCCCATCCCTACTTCATACACACACCCTGCTCATGGAAAACACACAAAGAAACGCAGATAATACAGCTTTTTAGTTAACGGTGACTAATGTAGCTGTGGAAGAAGTAAACAAAGCTGCTGCACGTGAGCTCGGCATCAATAAGTCGATGGTGAGATTTTGGCGACGGCAGTGTGACGAACTGTGACTCAATGCAAAAAGACAACAAAAGCTTTCAGAGGCCATAAAAGCAGACGGCCCGTACTTGAAAACATACTTGAAAACGTTCTTGAAGACGTGGACACCTGTGGCTTATATTCAAGTGCAGCCTATATATGTACAGGTTTAAAATTTAGTTGATGTGGCTTATATTCAGGTGCGCTCAATAGTCCGGAAATTACGGTAACTACATTCTAGGTCTGCAAGAGTAATAAGAATGAAAGGCGCCAATTTCTGAAGTGACATAATTTCCTCCACAAACGACAAAATACCCTGCCTTATTCTGCATAAAAACTGCTAGTCTAGATCTGCACATAAATGCGATTCCGGTATTAGTTTGCTTATTCATATTGTACGTTTTTTGTCAGTTCTTCAAGACATGTTTAAAGTGCCCAAATTATGTTATTTTCTGATCTGTGTTATAATGTTTCCTCATCACAAACAAACCTGGAGTTGTGTTTTGTTTCATTCACACTTTTAACACAAACCCTGCATATTTAGGCTTCTCTCAAACAGAAAACAGGTTGTTCAGGAAGTGCTCCACTGTGTTTTTAAACTCCATACACCTTCAAAACAAACTCCAAGTATGTTTTTGATGAGGTAACAATATTATAACCTGGTTTAAAGCTCACAAGAGTCAAGTTTGCATAATACAGAACCTTTAAAATGTGAACTTTTATCAAAATCCTTTTAACAAATACAAAAAAATCAGGAAGAAATGCAATTATGTATAGGCTATATTATATATTTTTTTTCTACATTTAATACGTTTATAGTCTTGATGTCCTCAGCCAGAATCTAACCAAAGAGAAAATGATTAAATTGAAAAAGTGTGTCTAAACTTTTGACTTGCAGAGCACTTTAGCTTTAATCACAACACGCTGTCTTCAAAAAAAAAAAAAAAAAAAAAAAAAACCTTGCAAGATGTAAACATTTTTCACACAGCATGGGGTTGTTCATGTCCGTTCACCATGACACACAGACGTTTTCAGTTTGACACGCTCCCATTCTCCCGCTCGGCTCCGCCCCCTCATCACGGTGTCATTACTGCGCCCCTGCCCCTATTATAACCATTATGCCATGCTTATTTGGCCCCCGGACCCCCCTTTGAGGATCAGGTTGCACAGTAACTTGGCCCATCTCTGGAGGAATGTGCTGCTTCCCGCTCCTTTGTCGAGTGAGGGGCCAGATTGAGTTGCGCTAAGTTTCATAAGATCTTCTAAATGCGCGTGTGTGTGTGTTTGTGGGTATATGGTGTAAAGCTAATTGAGCTGGCTGTCAAACTTGGATCCGAGTTCTGGAGTGGTACAGCGAAGAGGAGGAGCTGTGTTTTAAGAGGAACATTTGAGAAAAGAGTTAGATTTCCAAGTAGCAACTGGACTAAATCAGGTCAAATCAGCAGAAAACAAGACTTAAAGGAGCTGTACCTGATTTTTCTGTCTTAAAAAAATGCAAAAAGCAGGATTAGTTCATTTTAAATCATTTGCAGTGATCCAAAGTTATTCCTAATGCATTCCTAGCCTGTTAAATATTCACTGTGATGAGTTTATAAGTGCTTTTTTGCAACTTACAGAGGCCAGACTGAAATTTTGCCATCATGGTAAAGCTCAAAACTAACAGTGTACTTCTTGATTTTAACTGGTTTTCAGATGATAAATGGTTTATAACTGGATGCAGACAACGCTCAGCTGCCTCATTTTCACACCATTTCAAGTAGCAGAACAAGAAGTATTCCAACTGAGCCAGACACACTTGTGATCAGGACTAAACTATGGGTCTTTGTTCGACAACAGGTCTACTAGTATATCAAGTTTAAACCAGGACTAAGATGGGTCTAAACAGAAATACACCATGACAAATCAGAAACAGGATGCCCGTGTCATTGCAGAGATATAACACAATAAAAATAAACAAAGCAATTAAAGGGACAGTCTGGATTTTTGGACATAGGACCTCATTTCCTAGTGAGCCAGAGTGTTGGAGACGTGTGGAGACACTATTTAAAAATATTCCATCCAGTCCTTGTATTTGCAGAGGTCGATGTAAATGTCTGTCGATAGAATAATTTTGGAAGTAAAACCAACCTTGCATTTGAAGGAGTTATGTCTGAGCAACAGCAGCAGCAGTGAGTTGTACTTCCTGAAACAAAGCTCAGCACCGGTGGACTGATATCACCTAACACCTATCTTACCGGCAAATTAAAATTCAGCTGCTGCTCAGAAAATAGTCCCTCAACATGCAATGATTCATGCGATGCAAGGTTAATTTTATTTCAAACATTATTCTATCGACACAAACATTTACATCGACAGTTTGGTGTAATAATACATTTGCTTTGGGAGTTTTGTGGAGTGGGAAAGACTGTTTTTATTGGCAGAATAACTATGGCCATTGACATGCACTAGCCGAGCACCAGCGACCTCTGCAAATACAAGGACTGGATGGAATATTTTTTTAAAAGTGTCTCCACACGTCTCCAACACTCTGGCTCACTAGGAAATGAGGTCCTATGTCCAAAATTTTGACACACACAAGGCGAAAAACATGTAGTTCATAAGTGAATCGAAAAACATGATTTAAATATTTCATTTTCCAGCTCCAACCGTGCACTGATCTCTGGCTAAAATGTCAAAACACAAATTAAATAAGGAGTACAAGCCAAAACAATGTTGAAACAAATACAAGTGTTACGACCCAGCTCGCTTGGGGTGGGGGAAGTAACCAAAAAAAAAAACAAGATGTTAAATGGAATAAATTAAATAATGTTTAATTAACAGGGTTGTAAAAGGTAACTTAACAAAACAGACTAAAATATACAAAAAATAAACTCAACTAAGAAACAGAATTAACAGAGAACAAGTTTTGTGCCATAAAACGGGTCACTCAGGCTTACACAAAAACAAGTTGTTAACTAAAGAACACACACAAACTAAAACACAAGTGCCCCAAAGTACCAACAAGACATTACGTAATTCTAATTTCTAAAAAACTTGAATTAATTAGTTGACGTTAATGAAGATCTTGTACTTTCAGAATGATTTTATTTTAGTAATTAATTTCTGGAACAATTACTGTGTCCTTATAACGAACACTAAGCTGTTTGTATTTAAATAGTTAAGTTGTGTATTTTAGTCTAATGTTAGTTTCCAGCGTTTTTATCGACCTAAATAGCAGCTATAATGTTTGACTATTTAGGGCTTGTTTGAATGTACTCCATTGGGGAAGGCACTTGAATGTGTTTTTCCTGTGACATTTAAAAATGTCAGTGGTGATGTAAGCAGGATAATAAAATAATATTACTTTTGGCCAAACTGGGACGCAGATTTAATTAGCTGTGTACGCGACCTGCCCCAGCGCCTTTCTAGAAATGACAAGGTATCAAAGTTTAGTGTTAAGAAGAAACTTTGAAAATCAGGTCAGTGATTATTGACACCATACAAAAACCTTAAATGGCTCTACTTCAAGTGTACTATAGAATGTTATGCTTATATATTGCAATGTAACCATCTTTGTTTTTTGGTCATTTAAATATGCACATATATATATTTTTAAATTTAACAATAAAATAAAACAAAATCCAAAAGCCAGTCCAATCCAGTGTTATTTGTACAGCATATTTTACCAACTTAAAGTCTCCATAAATTAATAAAATCTCCTATAAATTAAGATATTAAATAAAACAAAGCATGAAATAAATAAGTAATAAATAAATAATAAATAAGAAAAAAAAAAGTAAATTGAAAAATACCAAATAAAATCAATAATTAAAAAAAAAAAAATAATAATAATAATAATAATAATAATAACAATAACAATAATAATAATAATAATAATAATAATAATAATAAATAATAATAAACAGTCAGGGGACCACATAATTCTCATGCCGTGCTAAAAGCTGGTGAGTAAAAGTGCGTTTTTAAACAAGACTTAAATTAACTGGCTGAAGTGTGGCTGATGAATTGGCTAATGTGAGGGGGGGAGAGCGTTCCAAAGTTTGGGGCCCGGTCACCCCAGAGTCACCCCGGCTTTTGAGTCTTGTTTTTGGGACGACGACTTGGAGCTGGCCCTCAAACCTCAGAGCGTGTGAAGGAAAGTAGAAACAATGAGGTCGGAAAAGTACGTTGGGGCCAGTCCATGAAGAGCTTTAAAAACAAATGTTTAAATCAACTCTAAAATGAACAGGGAGCCAGTGCAATGAGGATAAAATAGATGTAATGTGTACTCTACGACGTGTCTCGGTTAAAAGACGTGCTGCAGAATTTTGGACTAACTGTAAGCGTGACAGGTTTGCTTGGCTGATACCAGTGCACAGGGCGTTACAGTAGTCAAGACGTGAAATAAAATACATAGAAAATACAGGATGTGCTACAGTGTGTTTTTAAACTACATATAATTTCACTAGAATCATATCATGTGGGTGTAATTTTAATCCTGGAACTTGAAAACTACCGCTTCATGACATTATGAGTATTTTGAGTTTTGGAGATGCAGACAGACTAATAATAAAGGTTACTTAAAAATGTTTGAATGAAACAAAACACAACATTATAACATGGCTTTAAGCTCACAAGTCAATTTCGTGTAATATAGGGCATTTAATTATAGAAGCAGTTATCTATACATCACTATTCTGTCTCTTTTTCAGATTGTGAGGTGAGAGAATTACGACAGGAAGTGCTCTCCATCCTCTTGGCTTCGGAGCTGTTTGTCTCTGGACCCTCTTCGGTGGTCCCCGCTCCAGGCTCGACTCAGTACCTCCTGAGTCTGTCCCGGGTCGCCCTCAGCGCCAGTGTGGAGCACCCACAGCTTTGGGACGCCCCGCAAGCACAACGATTATTACAACACCTACTGAGCTCCACCAGCTATGAGGTAGGTCACAGTCATAATTTCATGCACAATCAGTGGACAAGGCTTTCAGATGACATCTTTTTGAAACCTATTTTGAAGCAAACAAAACCATCTCCAGTGCAATTGGAGATCTTTGTAAAATTGTGTATGGATATAACATAAAATAAGTTTGAAAAAGTTTAAAGTCCCATGTTAAAAGTTTAAAGTTTGAAAAAAGTTTGAAAAAGTCAGTCAAGCATAATGTATTACTGCTTAAACCAAAGAGAGAGATTCACTTTTTTCACTTTTTGACTTAGACAAACTTTATTGCTCCACAAGGGAAATTATTTGGACACAGTAGCTCACTAATCACAATATAATATAATAACAAAAATAAAAATATAAGTGGTCATAATAAATTTTAAATAAGTAGCAAAAAAGATGGCAAGAGACAGGTGTCAAATAAGGCTTAATTATATAAATGTATATGTACAAGTCAAAAGAAAATAGAAAAATAAAAAACAAAGTAATGAAACATAAAATCTCACTTTTGGGGGGTAGATTTGATGAAATTACATTAAAATCACACATTTATAATTCTGTTATAGAATATTTATTTATTTCAAACTTGAGAAATACATGTAAAATATGAATGAATCAATATACTAGATTCAAATGCTGATAAAAATTTAATTATTTTTATGCAAAGTAGTAACATCGATCCATTAATCTTTATTTATAGAGCCCTTCAAAACACTCAAGGTGATCAAAGTTCTTTCCAAAAAACAACTAAAAAGATATATTTCTTTTTTCTTTTGGTAATTTTAAAGGCTTCCATGTATAGATTTTTTAAATGTATTCATTCGTTTGAGCAAGGTAAAACAAAATCAACAACAACTAGAAAAGCACTCAGAGAGCGCAGACCTCCGCCAAGGGCTACCCCCATTTTTTATATAAATTGCGATAAAATCTGTCTTCTGGATCAGATCCGGATCAGCCTTTGGAATATGAAAGAGGATCCCATTGTCCATCCCTGAGTCAAATTTCATGGGGTTTGGTCAATAATTAACCGAGATATTGAGAAACAAAATTTTTGGCCCCATTTACCACAATGTTAACTAAAATTTCAAAGTGATCCAGAATCCAGGATTTCTTCCAGATCACCCCCAAAATGAAATCAGTTCTTCCTTTTCACATTTCCAACAAATCCTAAAAATTTCATCAAAATCAGTCCATAACTTTTTGAGTTATGTTGCTAACAGACAAACAAACAAACAGACAAACGCCGGCAAAAACATAACCTCCTTGGCGGAGGTAATAACAAAAAACAAAACAAAAACAAGGATATGTCCATGAACATACTTGGGACCTGGTGCTCAAAAGGAGTAGGATGAAGTTTAAAAAATGTATACTGTCCTCCCCCAATTTAATTTAACTGTATTGACTGACTTTTTTGCATTAACGTTTGTTCTTGCCCCTTTTACATCCGTCTTTATCATCTTTAGGTGCGTGCTTTGGCTCTGGACACCCTCCTGAAGCACCTCCAGCGGGACAGCGGCAGGGACACGGACACAGACAGGGTCGCAGAGTTGCAGGACCAGACCACCCTGAGTCACCTGACGTCCCTGGCCTTTCACGAGACACACCCCCATTGTCTGTCCAAGGTGGGACCACACACACACTGCCCCCTCCTAAGCGTCTGTCTGTGAGTGTTTGTGCGTTGGTTTTACAGATCGCTCTCGCCTTGTTCAGACACGGGACGTCAAACAGAAGGACCCTTCACCAAATACATGAGCTCTCGGGTATTTGCATACACCTGTTGTACTTTCACTCCAGCTCTGGGTGATCTCAAACATTGGCTGTTCTCAGAGTTACTGCTTGTTTATTTGGTAAAGAAGTGACACTGAAAAAAGAGGTTGTTTAGAGGACTTGTGCCCAGTTTCATAGTTTTTCACAGTTTCAGGGCCATTTACATCCAGTCATTTTGTGTTGATGCCAGGACAACACTTTGTTTTCAAGTTACACAAACATCATAGCAACTGTTGTAAAAACACTTTCTGGACTTGATCTTGGCCCATTCAGAAAGAGAATTAAACTTATCATATGAAAGGAAATGGAATTTAAAGGTACATTACATAACTTTTGGAAAGTTACACAGTATGGCATTGCCGTATTTTTCGGACTATAAGTCGCTTCAGAGTATAAGTCGCACCAGCCAAAAACATGTGTAATGAAGAAGAAAAAAACATTTATAGGTCGCACTGGACTATAAGTCGCACTTTTGGGGGGAAATTTATTCTATAAAATCAGAAGCCAGGAACCGATAGAGAGAACAACAGGCTGTTAACGTCACATATGAACAGTTCTTCAGATTAAACTATAGCATAAACAACAGAAGAAGTTTACCAAAGTCTCCATCTCACTCCAAATCACTAAATCCATTGAATTCTTCATCCAAACTCCATGACCTCCGGAAGTAAACGGTGTAGCTGTCGTCAGACTCAGCATCAGTTCCTGTTACAATTATTCCGGCCTTTCTGAATCCCGACAGGATGGTTTCGGTTGTCGCTGAAGTCACTTAAGATGTGTGAAGAATCCCTCAGTCGTCCAGGTAGAATCCACGGCGAGGAGAAAATTTAGTTTGTTGACTGGACCAAAGTTAGTTTGTTTGAAGACGTTTCGCAGCTCATCCAAGCTGTAGAAGAGAAGAAGCAGCTTGGATGAGCTGCGAAACGTCTTCAAACTAACTAACTTTGGTCCAGTCGACAAACTGAATTTTCTCCTCGCCCTGAAGTCACTTCAATTTAATGTTTTCAGTGGAGAAGTCAAGGTGCGACTGACATGATACAGACAGGACAGCAGCTCTTTCTGCAGGAGACATGCACAGTAGAGCAAAGTGACAGTGGTAAAGAATTGTAGCAGCAGATACTGACACACAAGCCTAGAGCCTCTCGCGGCCGTCAGTGTGAACATTTTAACATATAAGTCGCACCGGAGTATAAATCACAGAACTACCCAAACCATGAAAAAAAGTTTGACTTATAGTCCGAAAAAAATGTAAATATATGTATCTTGAATTTATAAGTACAACTATTTTGATTGCATAGTGGAGTTGCTTCTCCACTGATCTGACTTGTAACCTGACCTGGTGCTGCTGCCAACTCATCTTCACTGAGATAGACAAGATTGTGGAAAATTCTAAGCAAAATAAAAAACTTCCATGATAATGTGCAGGAGGCAGACATTCTTCCAGCAAAGTTAACCATTAAGAGTGATATTTTAGCTTAAAGTTTAATGTTTGTGGTTTTATTTTATGGATGTTGCACGTTAGAAGTCTTATTGTAATCACAAATGTTGACACAATAATGAAAATTACAGTTTCAGCTTGATCCGATTGCAAAAATGTGGTTAAAAACAGTTACTACATTAGACTGTAATCCAACGCTCCTCCTCAGTTTAGGCAACATGAAGAAGAGCTTTTTTTTTTATCCTTATCTGTTGAAATGTCACGCCCTCTGTTAGATCATTGGACAACATTTTAATGTAAACCACAAATGCATTTTCCTCAGTCGAACCCTGTACATTTTCTTTTTCTATACATTTTCTTAGTCAAGTGCTAGCCGATGATTGCATGTTTGGAGAACTATAATTTGTGGATTTGCATCAGAAAACTGTCAGTCCTTGTGCATTTCTGTCAAAAGTGCTGAGGTTGCAGATTTCTCCAGTTCATTAGAGCCACATTTCCAAACACACTTGTATCTGTTTTCCTTGTTTCTGTGAACCACTAATTGATGAAACCTCCATCTTGCAGAGACTTGCGTGAGAGCGTAATCGGGCTGAGGGGGAACGCCAAACTTACTGGCACTGAGCTGGTTCCCTCACTCTGTTAAACTCACACATAAGAGCGCTGGACCAAGGGCGCGCTAACGAGTGTGGAGCCAATGAACCTTATGGACATCCTGGTTTTAAGCACAAGTTTGAGCAGCAAAAATATGAAAAATATATCAACATGGAACAAAATACTACTAAGATACTGTATTATTATTTAAATATTTTTGACAAATTAAAATTAAAATGAATTTCTGTCTTATAGAAGCGCTTCATTACTTCTAATACAATAAAAAAATAAGGCTAAATTAAAGCAACAGTAACACAATATAAACTTAGGAATGGGCAATATATGACAAAAAAGTATTATATATTGTCGTAAAAAATAATTCAGAATTTTGCCCCTCATGTTTATTGAGACTTTATATGAACTTTATATTCACAAACACAAAAAAGGGATTTAAATTTCCTGAACATAAGCACAAAAAATAGTGAAATTTGAAAGAAATCTTCCTCTGAGTTATAGTCCGTTACACGAAGTTGTAGTATTTTTGAGTCTAAATGAAGTGTATGAATCTGTGTATCATTCGTTCATAGTTTTTTTTTTTTTTTTTTTTTTTTTTCAAAATAAAACCAAAAATAAGAAAAAAAAAAAATCTTCATTATTTGTCTCTAAAACCAAAATGAAAAAAACTGATAATGCTTTGCTTTTTCAGTTTTCGATTTTGTGTTTAAATGAATAATTGAAGTAACAGATAACGACCTTTTCTCTTTTCCGTGACTTAAACTGCGATGCCGGACTTTTGCGCCGCATACAGACTGAACCAGGACTAAACCAGGACTAAACCAGGACTAAAACAGATCTAAACCAGGTCTGAACCAGAATTGAACCAGGACTAAAGCATGTCTACCAGGGCTAAACCAGGACTAAACCGGTTTCAGTCCTGGTCTCCGTCCTGGTCTCCATCACAGTCACAGTCCTAGTCTCGGTCTGGGTCTCAGTCCCGGTCTGGTCCCGATCTGGTCCTGGTCTGGTCCCAGTCTTAGTCCTGATCACCCGACCGGCTCATCTCGACACTCCTGGTTCTGTTCTGGTTCTGTCCTGGTTTAGTCCTGATTCAGTCCTGGTTCAGTCCTGGTTTAGACCTGGTTTAGACCTGGTTTAGACCTGTTTTAGACCTGTTTTAGTCCTGGTTCAGTCCTGAGATCAGTTTGTATGCGGCGCAAAAGTCCGGCATCGCTGTTTAAGTTACGGAAACGGGAAACATTATAACATTATTCATTTAAACACAAAATCGAAAACTGAAAAGACAAATTGTTATCTGTCAAATAATTCGTTTTCTTATTTTTGGTTTTATTTTGAAAAACAAATGAATGAATGATACACGGATTTGTACGGGCTCCTCTTTTACTCACACACACTGGTATGACTCAGTCCAAGTCTCCTCTAGGCGTTGCTTTATGGGACAGTCAGTTAAAACGCTGTTAAATGAGAGCGTCCGATCTGCTCCAAGGACACAGCAGTTACCATAGTTCACTCTGGGCTGCACCAAAGCATTCTGGGAGAGCAGCAGTGGGTCTGACTAGATTTGTAGAGCTTTCTTTTTTTTTTTTTTTTGTCCTATGTAGTTTTCCTGGCCGGCAGCTGACTGGTTGTAATGTAGCCGTCTAGGTCAAACTCCTACGTCACAGTTTTGCTCCCAGTGTTGTTTGTTTATGGATTCTGTTGATGGAGAAATACTTTATGGAAATGGAAACTCCTGAAAACACAACAACTTCAAACCTGAGATTGCGGGTATAGAGGGATTGTGGATGTATTTATTAGGTGCAAACATCACAAACTATTCCAATATTTATAGGAAAAATCCCCAGGCAGCACAAGGCACTTCTATGAAATCTGTGTCTGTAGTCCGCCCTACGCAAGTGGCTGTAAAAGCTTTTGCTGTTTTGAAGTGACGATCAGGGTTAATGTATTATCTGGAAAAGAGGGCAGATACAGTAACATAAAATGACTCTTCTTTCTGCTCCTTTTCATTCATTTCTTGTATGTTTGATGTTATGACGCTCTAAATGTCTTTTTATATTTTACGAGTGAAATGGAAATAAACAAATAAAATAAGCTAAACTAAAAAAAATTTATATTACAGGGGTCACCAAACTTTTTTTCTCTGGGGGCCACGTTATCGCTCCTGACTGTGATGGGGGCCGGAGTCGGGTCGGTCGTAAAACAGATTTGTATGACCCTGATGACATGAATTATATTCTTTGAAAACTGCCACACTTTCTTTACATATCAGACAAACTGCACGGTCCTTAGACTGAAAAAAAATAAAAATAAATCGTCCACTATGCTTTGAAAATTCTGCACTCTCTGTCAACTTTTCGTACTTTAACACTTGCCATTTTGCTGTCCTTAACTGCACTACAGAACTCTGCATGTGTGGTCAGGTGACGAAAATTCTACGGCAAATTTGACAGCAAAAGACATATAATTATTTAAAAATTAATATAAATACTTCATATAAATATCATTTTTAATTAAACAAGTCAACAAAATACAATATACAGACATGTTATTAATTGCCAAAAAGTATAAAAAATAAAAAAATAGGCCATGACAACTTTTGAGGATTGCTTCATAGGGCCAGTTCAAGTGGTGGTGGACAGAGGGGCTGGAGGACCGGCCAAAGGGACGTGGTGGGTCGGAGTTGGTCCACAGGCCTTAGTTGGATGACTCCTGGTACAGGATGTCATATATGAGCCTAAAGCACTCGTCTGAGTGCAACTACTAGCTACTAGAGCTGGGTTGTATGGACAGAATGTGTATTTTATCATA